TGTGCCAGCTCTTGCAGGCTACCCCTTTAGCAAGAACTTAGTTCTAAACCTAGCCCTGTAGACTTTGGACTGATTTTGAGTTCCATACCTGAGTTCTAGAGCAGTCACCAGTGCTCTATCGTTGTGCTCGTCGTCTGCTGACAACTGTCCAAGTATTTCCAGTGGTTGTCTCTTCAGGCTCGTTGCGAGGTACACAGCTTTTTGCTCCTCTGTCCATCCATTCATTACTACCAGTAGGTCAAATTGTGCTCTATATGCTTCCCATGGTGCCTTCCCATCGAATTCATGTGGCTTCCTTCGTACTAGATCACCCCTATTGCTGACACTCATGTCTGGAATGTGACTTCTGGCAGGACTGGAGATGTCTGCATTAGGGTTTAGCTGTGGAGTCTGGAAGGGGCTTCCTGTTGTCTGGGGCTGATTAGGTCCGTGGCTAATGTATCATCCTTGTGTAAAAGACAGTAAATCATCCTTTAATGTATTTAATTCACTTTGAAATTTACTAATATTTTCCATTTGTTTACACTGGCTTTCTCTCAAATGTTGGAGACTTACTTCCTCTTTCTTTTCTCATTCTTCTTGTTTCATTTCTAGTTCCAGTTGCCACTGGTGCTGGTTTCTTGCCACTGCTATAGTCTCTCTTCTTGTTTATTTTCTTTCTCCTCCAAAAACTGCTGTAACCTAGAAGAGATTGTTTCTTTTCTTTCTCCTCCAACCACTGCTGTAGTCTCTCTTCTTGTTTATTTTCTCATTCTTCTTGTTTCTTTTCGTTTTCCTCCAACAACTGCTGTAATCCCTCTTCTTGTTTCTTTTCTTTCTCCTCCAACCACTGCTGTAATCTCTCTTCTTGTTTATTTTGCTGTTCTTGTATTGCTGCCATCAAATCTGCTAAGCTGTAGTTTGATTTGCCACTTCTCGTTTCCATCTTCTTTTTTCTTTTCCGTCCCATTCTCTGACACCAATTTGTTATGTCTCTGCTCGTTTGATTATTTCCTTAATTTCCGGTATTAATTCTTTCCGAGGAACTTCAGCGATACAAGTCCTTTCTTAATTAAAACTAGTTTATTCTTTCTCGATACAACTTTGTAATACACTTAACAACTTTTATAACACACTTATAAATCATAGTGATTCACACTCTTTACTTACGGTGCCTACTGTTCACTTGACTTAATTATCTCTATCTTCAATCTATCTGCCTATCTATGCAATTCTATCTTCTTTTTGCTTATTTGCCGGGCTTATATACTAAAAAAGAGGGCGACTGAAACAAACTAGAGTTGCCAGGAAAATTTATGATCCCTCTAGAAACTCCAGCGCGCATGCTCCCAGCGTCGCGTGACTTCTGCTATCGTAACAATAATGCCCCTTAAGCTGCCTATATCACAAGACATGCCGGACCAAATTGGCTTATTTAGTTTCTAATTAGGTTTAGGATATCGGTGTACTGAATGATAGTGTCATGCATTTTATATTTTGAACCTTGTTATTCATATGAACAACCAGTTTTCTAGAGTACTTGCTCGTGTGGTATATAGGCATAGCATGTGTTTGATATCTCCCTCTCGTTTTAATATAGGATTAATATTCTTATTTATTAAAGTTTGTGTTGTGTGCGGTTGACATATAACACATTGGTCAAGAAAGCTGTTAAGTTCATTTCACTCTAACTGTCCATTGTTCTGTGTCATTCATCTAAGTTATTACTTTGTCTTCCCGTGGGAAGATTTCCATATGTAAGTAGACAGCAACATTTCCCAGGTGGTGTCTAGAGGGTACAACTTCCTTACGATCAATGGAAATGACCAACATTCAGGTGGTTAAGATGCTCGACGCTCAATCT